TAATTATAATTAGGTTATTTCTTTATCTCATATTATAATAAATAATTACACATAAAAAAATATTAAATTTTTTTAATATAATTAAATTGAAAGTAAATATTAAATTAAAAATGAGAACGGGGACAGGTACGGGTACGGGTACGGGGCGGGTAAGTACATACTTGTACCTGTACCCGATTTAATATATCGGGTTTTACCCGTACTCGTACCCGGTCAAACCGGGTATTCCCCGTCAAAGTCGGGATGAGTTCGGGTATTACCCGCGGGTACGGGTATATTTGCCATCCCTAATGTCGAGCATTAGATTAGTGACGTTGGACGTGAGTTAGACAAAGACTTTCTACCTAAAATGAAGGTGTGGGTTTTAGCCACGCTAGGCATGATTGTCATAAAGGCTCTTTGCCTCATCCACACTAGGCACAAGTAGATTGGCGTTAGGCATGGGCGAGTTAGAGACTCTCTACCTCAATGATGTCGAACGCACGAAGAATGATGTCGGACTTGGGTTGCCTAATGGAAATATGTTGTTTATCTGACTAAGTGTTGAATATGGCATGTGTAATTTGAGTTAATTACATATTGTATGTTGATATATGTTGCTAGTTCTTTATACGTTGATATGAGATAATGTACATTGATGATTAAATTATTAAAATGTTGATTCATATGAGGGACAAGTCGAGCCATATGTCTACAAAGTGACCAAATTGAGTAAGGTATGAGGTTGGGGACTAAAATCCCTAAGTAGTAGAAGGAGTGTAGTATTTGGAGGGTAGTTAACGGGCTAATCTCATAAAAAACTTACTTATGCATGCTAATGTCATGGTATACTCACACTCAAGTTATCATACTCTTACAAGAATAATAAACTATCTTTATTTAAGTGGGGAAATCCAAGAAATCATGTGTGAATTTTTATCCAAATTGACTATTGATCTAGTAGGTATAAAAAGATCATTGTTGTTTTGTTTGGTAAGGTCAAACCACTTAGACACTTCACCTTGTTGTAAGAGATCTCTTATTGTGTTGTGTTGTTCATATGCTTTGTTGAATGATTGATGAGTTGCTTTATTGTTGAATGATAAGTTGAGGTGTTGTTGTTGTGTTGTTATAGTTAAAAACCATGAGGAGTTTTGTTGTGCGGTTGATGTGTTTATGTTGGTAGTATAGTCGCATTTTACTTATATACTTGATATGTGATTTCTTTTGAATGCTAGCTTACTCTTACATGTTTCCTTGTGATTAGATTGTAATGATCATATTTATGAGAGTAGAGTAATGATAGCCTGAATGTGGATTTGTTTTTAGGTCATGCTATATGATGCTGGTGTGACCTTTTGGGCTACTATGATGTAATTAGTTTAGTTGTATTGTTTGACTAACACCTTGGAGTTATTATTTTAGTACTATATTATTGTACATATTTATATACTTGTGCAATTATTATATTGCTTTAGTCGTAAAAACTTTAACACATGTATATTATTGTGCATGTATCCAGATATTATTTACATATTAATCCTATGTGATTAGATATTTATTTCCACTAAGTTGTAAAGTGTGGCAATCTAGCAGGTTATTACATTGATTACACAAACACACATAAAATAATGGAAGAAAATCTACCATTGTAAGTGCAAGAACTTGCTACATGCAAGCTCGGCCAGTGAAATCACAAGTGTAGGTATTGACCATGGTTCCTAAGTTGGAATCTCATGTTTTGGTCCTCTAAACTTTTCCCCAGATGCTTATAAGAAAACAAAATAAGAAGATAAAATGAATTGATTTTTTTCTCATAAATTGAAATTAACTCATACATTTTAGCTTTTTAAAAAGATAAATGTGAAGATTTTTATAGAAATTAATTATATAAGTTAGTTTTAAGTTCTAATATGGTGGAGAAATTTAATTTATCTTATCTTCTTATTTTCTTTATTTATAAGTGTTTGTGGGCAAATTTCTCCACAAGTCTAAGTAATGATAGGCGACTATTATCCCAAAGTTTAGTTGGTTTTTAATTTTGATCTCAAATCATTTCACTATCCTAATCTCTAATCTATAAGATAACTCTAACTAGCATGCTAAATATAATTGATTTAGGGTTTATTTATTTGAAATTAATAGATTTAGAATTTTCATTATCTTATCCATATATTCGTATTTATTATCGTAGATTATGTATGTATGATGAGTTTTAAGATAATAGTCTTGCTTTCAAAGGTTGTGCGAGATTTACTAGTTAGATGGATGAACTTCTTTGAATTGTTACTACAGAAAAGAGGTAAGTATTGAACTAAAGTAATGTTTGGGTAAGCTTCTCTATAAACACTTTTAAGAGGAAAAAATATGAAGGAAAAATGAAATAAACATTTTAATAAACTAAAACTAACAGCTTATGCAATTATTCATAATCTAATTTATAGAGATTTTCTTTTAATAACTTCTTTAAAAATTAATTTTTAACTCATTCATAAATTAGTTTTAACTTATAAAAAAAACTTATTTTAATTTTTCTTCTTATCTATTTTCCTTGAAGTACTTATAAGAGAAGCTTGATTAAACATATCCTAATTTGAATTACTTAAAGAGTGACTTCTACCTCATGAATAAGTAAACACTCTTTTGATTTGCACTGACTATAAAATTAAAATGTAACATTATATGATTTTGGATTATGTCCTGAAGAAGGAATTGAAAGTTTTTTATGATGAGGTGATTCAATTCAAAAATAGTTTAAAGGATCATTGCTAGCATAACTTAGATTGTATTTGTATATTCGTTTGCGTGCATTCCAAAGCATCAAAATGGAAAGGAAAAAAGAAACACGCGTCTTGATGGATTAAAATCAACCTACGTTTGTCTACTGTAAACGAAAAACAAACACACTTACACCGCTACAAGCCATTGTACAAGTGTAAATAAGAGTGCTAGGTATGATATACATAAATATGATTTTTTTTTTCAAAAAATAATTAAAATATTGTTAGTCCTTAATCTCTTATATAGCTATTGAAAAAACGCATTGGTAACTATAAATTAAATAAAAATACTAGCTATTTCTTCATTATCTAATGGCAAAAGTTCATAAACAATTTAAAGATAAGACAACTAAATTCAATCTCAATATGCTCAAGACTTTATTGATATTATAAAAGTGTAAGTAGATCAAGACCAACTATAAAATTGTCCTAACCTAATTACATTTCAAAAAATTGAGTTGTTGGATTAAACATATTTTAGTTAATTCAATTAAGATTAGATTAAGTAACAAATTAATGACTTTCAAATCGATTAACCTAATCCAACCAACCTATAATTAATAATAATAATAATAATAATAATAATAATAAATACTAATTATATATTTGATTGAGATATGTATTAATCATATAATTTATATTAATATTGATCATATAATTTATATTTTATTTTTTTCAAAATTTTAAAATATATAAACATTTTAATAGACTTATTAAAAAAAAAACACTCAAACATGACTCGGTCTAACTCAATTATATTGGATTATATCTTGGAATAGACCAAATTTAACTCGACTAAATCCAATTTAAACTATGTGCATCCGATATCCGGTATAGGTATGGCGAAATATGTTTGTCCTTTATCGTTTAGAGGTTGGTAAACTCCTACATTACAGAGAGTAACACTATCAAAGATATGTTTGAATAAGTTTTTTTAAAAACATTTTCAGAAGAAAAAAAAAGAAAAAAATTACAATAAAATTTTCTATAAACTAAAACTTATTCATAAATTAAAATTAATATTTTAGAGAAGTTAAAAAGAATTTTTTATACATTAATTTATGTATAAATTAATTTTGACTTATAAAAAAATTATTTCAATTTTTTTTTCCCATTTTTTTTTTTCCATTTTGACGTGAAAAAGTTTCCAAGCTGTTTCCAAAGCGTTCAAAACACGCAAAGTAACCCAAAGAAAAAAATGCATCTCGAGAATTTCAATGTCTCCAAAAATGGTTTTATAGCAAACTAACATATTTGCTATAAAGATATTTTGGGGAGCATTAGAAAACCGGATCCTCTGATAGGTCCCAATAATTTGTGAATATATTTGCAATTTAGAACTAGCAGAGTCAATAGTGCAACTCGTAAGTGATCTTATCAATGATCCAAAATCTTGTATGCAACTAAGAATCATAGATAACAACATTTGAACAATTATATCAAACAAAAAAATATTAGGTCCAATATTTTCTTAATATATTTACAATTTCAGATCATGTTGCAACTTACACGAAAGCAAAAATCATATTACCTCCTTTTCAAGTTTCAAAACTGCCATGAAAGCTTCTTGGGGCACATCAACTTTACCAATAGACTTCATCCTTTTCTTTCCTTCAGCCTGGATGGAGATAGACGATAATACTATTATTTAAAAGCTAAGGTAGAAACCGGAATTAAAACATCAATTGCATATAATTTCAAGTTTCCACTATGCAAATAATGAAATAATAACCATTTCCCTAACGCAAAATTATATTGAAGCTGAAGTGAGAGCACACATCTACTGATATATTCATTTCACGATACTCTATGGCATGGTTATAAATAGCAGTCGTAGTTGAAGTTTCATTGTGATCCTTAAACATTGCGGAGAATGCGACTGATGCAACCTCAATTGTGGTTGCAGGGATTGGAAAACCTTTACATAGCCGCCCAATTATAGTTGTAGACCGCAATTTAAAATCAATCTCTATGGATATACATAACCTGACAACAATTTTGATAACCTTGTAATAATAATAATTAGAGTTAATCATCCATACACTGTCAGTGTAAAATTTTTTACACTGACAACCAATCATATCTTTTAAATTATTTTATTTTACTTTTATTTAATTAAATGAGCAAATGACATGACACTATTAAGAGATATGATTGGTTGCTAGTGTAAAAAAATTTTACACTGACAGTATATAGGTGATTATCTCTAATAATTATTATATAGAGTGGGAATCAAGTTACTCTAAAAGTAACTTTATCAAGAAATATTTCACTTAATTACTCACAATATATTAAATCTTAATGATCGAACCGTTAAATTAAAAATTGTTATTGAAAAGATAGTCTACATAAATTCAAATTAACACATTCATAAATACATATTATATGTTATTTTGAAATTGTGTAACAAAATATTAAATAATTTTTAAACTATATAAAAATTTGTAAAATTAATTTGTTATTTTGTAAACTTTTAGTTTAACAATTAAATTATTGAAATTTAATATATAACGTGAGTTATTAAATGGACGACGTGCATGTTTGATTCAGCATATATGATCCACATTTAAACAAAAATCACATAAAAAATTGATTCAAAAGCAACTAATTGTCACTTCCATGTTCAACCAAAATTGACATAAATCCAAACATGCATTATCTCTATCAAGAATTATTCCTAGAGTAATTTAATCTCCACCTTTATATATATATATATATATATTGAATTTATATTGGATCATACCTGTTTCTTAAGCAATTTCTTTTTTCTTGAAATGTCCCCACCTAGAAGATCAAAGAGAAAAATTGCAAAGAAGCAATCCGAGCAATCAGACAAGAGAAAGGAAAAATAAAGTTTAAAGGTGGAGGTTATATAAAATAAAATATCGTTCTTAGTTTCTATTTTACAAATATCTACATAAGAAGGAAATTAAATTTTTTATATGGAGAGCCACACGGACAGGAAATCCTAAAATATGGGGGCAAAACCGAAGACGTTAAAGATTTAAGACAGAATACCAACCAGAAAACTATTGAAGCATTCTGATGAAAATAATGGTTTAAATATTTTTAAGCAAGTTTATGCAAGCCCCTCCCTCAAAGGTTTCCCATTTGTCTCACCGTAGCATTTGGCTAGTACGTCCTTCCTTATTGCAGATATCGCTTCACTAGCAATCACTTTTGATGCTATGCACGCCTAGAATAGAGACCATGCATATGATATCGTGGTTAGTTTAATGACTTTTAACAAAATTAAATTAATTCTACGTAATTGTGTCAGAGGAGGAGAAAGAGAAAACCATCAAATCATCTAAAGCAGATAAACTACGGAGAAAAAGACTATATATTTACATACTAGCATTAAAAGAGTACACGATCCTTACTTGAATTGGTACTTTAAACATTTGTCGCGGTATGAGCTCCTTCAACTTTAGAGTCAAAGCCCTTCCCACAGAATATGCCTGAAAATAAAGCCTCTGTTGACTTTCTGATAATTTATTAACATCAAAATTAAAGAGTATAATCACTAGTCTATACGAAGCATATCTTATGCAGACAAGAGTTTCTGTGAAACATAGTTTCCTTAGAAATAGAAGCTAAGTGCTGATAACCCTGCTCGAGTCTTCAAAAAACTGAGGAATATTGAACCAAATGAGCAGAAGAGACAATTTTTTAAATATTGAGAATATTATCTTGTAATATACTAATATTTCTTTACTTCGAGTTCTACAATAAGTGGCAAAAAACATTTGATGCCAGTGCAAGGGAGTAAAAACAGTAGGATGGTAGTGTTAGTAAAATAGGAGTTAGCAGTGACATGGGGGAGATTAAGTGGACAGCAAGGATTGTAGTTTTTCTTTTTTATATATACATATATTTTAGTTTAAATAGTTAAATAAACCATTTTGTTTTGAATCAAAGCTTTAGTTTTTTTTATCTTTTGTCTAGGACCACTGAATTGAAGGGAGGATACAATAAAAAAGTATGAGAATAATGTTAAGATGAATGGAGATATTAGTATTGAGAAAATAACACCTATTGACGAGAAGATGACCAAAAAAATCAGTAAATGTGGTTTGGATATGTGCAAAGAAAGCCACTGGACGCACCGATCAAGAAAAAAAATCAGTTTTTAGCCTATGAAGAGGGATAAAGGGAGAATAAGAAGGACATTGGAACTTAGAAGAAATTATTAAAGAGATCTCATGGTAAGTAATATTTTGATAATTTTGATTTTAACCGAGCCAATGATATTATATGATCCATATAAACAATCTCACATTGTGGGATAATGCTATAGTTGTTATTGTCAAGGACCACCAGTATCCAAATACCACATAGGGCATCCCAACCAATATGGTCGATTGGGTAAGGTCACTATAGACAACAAAACTCTTTCTATGTTATATGATTTTGACTGCTATGCGCATTTACTTTTTTTTATTACTGCAATCCAATGAAAAGAGGGAAAAATTGCAAAACAATCTCCCAAAAAAAATGTTGCATATACAGAAAATTGGAGGGAGGGTGTCCCTTGTACCCAGTAGTAGCCAAGATAACTGAGTTGTTGCAATTCCTGGTGCAAAAGCAGGCACAACATCCATGAAGCCAAATGTTTCACAAGATTTCTATAGCAGCCCGTGATAGTTTGTGCAATTAATAATTGTGATATTTAACGACAATAGTAAAAGCTTAAGTACACAAAATAATACTGGGTGAGTTCTTGAGATTACTTAAAATAAATCTCTTTCTTGTGTTAGAGGATATCATGTTCAACTTTTGATGGAAAGGGTTCAACTAAAAATGGGGATTTTCAAGCAAATGGCAATGTCAGGTCATAGTCCAAAAATGTGGTTTTTAATTAGGTACATTAAAATGTTTCTATAACTAAAAACAATCTTTTTTTTGTCTTTTTCTATAGCAACTCTCTTTTATTATTTTCATTGAATAAAATAAGAATTGCAGGTCTGACCTACTATTCAGACTACTGACTGTTAAAATTTATCGCCCATTCCTCTTCTGTTCAAAAGCCTGCAAAAGTATAATTTGGTAGACTTGGAAAGTACTACAGAATTGTATTCTATTTCAATGCCTGAGCAGTTGCATATAAACAATTGCGATCAGTTAAAGAATGCTTTACCAGACCTTTTCTTTCAGAAAAAAGAAAGCAGATAAAATAAATACATTCAATTATGGTTTCCCCAAACCAGTATGATTCCTTTAACATATGACACAAAATTTACCCATGGGTAAATATGTATTTATTTCCAACCATGTATAGACCAAAATAAAGGATAAAATTAATAACATACCTTATCATTGTGCACAATTGTAGCCAATGGCTCCACACAATCACCATTTATACGTATATCAAGTTTAATTAAATTGCTTTCTACGTACCTGAAAATTAATTAACAGAAAGCATTAGAACATTTGGAGAATCCTTGAAAAGATAACCTTCTCAGTCCATACTTAATAATATGATTTTATTTATTAAAAGGTAAGGATAACTTTAAAATTATAGATACAAGTATTACGTGCTTCAATTACTTTTTTTAAAAAAGGCCATCCTCTTCTGGCGCAGAGATCAAGGTATATGAAATAATATACTGTACGATTATGAGACATGCTATGACTGTGCATGATTTACAGGATGATAAACCGCCAATTTGGGTGAACTTCTCAGAAGAAAATAAAAAAAATGAATTAATGAGCTAAAATGAATTAAGTACGTGTTTGTTTTCACGTTTTAAACGTGAAAAATCACGTTTAACGTAGAAGCTACAACGTGTAGCTTCACGTTAAACGTGATTTTTCACGTTTAAAACATGAAAGCAAACACGCTGTAAACTTCTCATATAAATGTGTTGATTGGATTATTTTGGAGATTATAATTTGTTTCCATAATAATTAAGGAAAAAAACTGTTAATAATCTTGTTCTGTCTTATCTGATAACATTAGTGAAAAACATAATCTTAGGTTATTTCTATTACATAGGGAAAAAAAAAACTCAAATAAGCAAGATTTTAGAGATTATGATAAAAAGCTAATAGATTATTTTTCTATTTAACTTTTGTTTTCTCATTTTATCCCTAACAGTTAATTAATTTAAATACAAAAGAAAACAAGTATAAATAATTTCATATCGCTTTTGTAATTTTACTAAAAAAATTACTACTTTAGACAATCCAAACAAAATAGATCATCTAAAAATCACTTTGCACCTAATAACATATCCAAACATGACATTTATTTGACGTAATTGACTGTAATAATAATGAAGTATATATATCTATAATTAATTATTGAAATAATCTCTACAAAAATCTAATTCACACAAATATTAAGTTAAAATTAACTTATGCAACTCAACTTTTTCATAAACTCTCTCATCTAACTTATCCACAGGAAGCTATTAACTTGAGCGAGCCCAGAATTCTTGCCTTAAAAAAGTCCTAATGGTACGTTTATACAACTGTAAAGCTCCCATGAGCTAGAAGCTAATCCAAAATGGGGCAATGTATGCATTAATTTACAATCCCTAAACAATAAATAGGTTGTCTTATTTATTTATTAAAACAACCCTGATTATACTACATAATTAGGGATATTTACAATAATCAACAGTACCTTGTAAGCCAACAGAATCCCGGGTGAATATTATCAATAAACTAAGCTCTAAGAGACATTTACCCGACAAAGGTATACTCCATACTAGCATAACCCTTACTTCTTGACTTTAACTGATCAAAGAAATCGCCAACCATCTACAAAATTGACATTCAAAATGATTCAAATACTTGAAAATCAAACCTAGACAAACAGAAGCACGAGATTTTAGGGTCATTTGGCAAGAACTAATGAAAGAGATTACCTCTGCTAGTGGTAATTCATAGGTGATTGATGCCCTATTTTCAGCGATAAATTTCATTTCTTTGAATTGCCCTCTTCTTTCTTGTGCTAGTTCCATAAGCGGACCAATGTAGTCCTTTGGTGTAAGCATCTCAATCTGTACACAACTATACATTAATTCCAAATAAAAGACAATAAAAAGACACAGAACTTCTGAATTAAAATGTTTAGACCTAACTGCTTCAACTCTTGGACAAGGTGAATTAACAGCAAAAAGTGCAAGAAGTAACCTTGACAAATGGCTCCTCAATTGATTTCCTTTTTCCAGGCTCCGGAAGTAAAGATGGATTCGAGCATTCGACCTTCAAGGATTTTGTGATTCAGACAAAATGATGGCGTTAATATTACATTTGTTTAAAAAATAGAGGAAATTCAATTTTAATGAATAGTTCACCAAAATATAGTATTACATAGAAAGGGAGCTTAGGAATCAGAAGAAATTACAGTATCACCATTTACACAGTTTACTCTGTACACAACACTTGGAGCAGTTGTTATCAAGCTCAAATTGTATTCTCTCTCAAGTCTCTCCTGTAATGTAAAGAACTTGTGAGATAAGATCAGGTTTCCAAAGTTGATCAGAATGTCAAATCATATTTCTGGGAATTATACCATATAAGAATATTATAGCATTTCCTATGAAAGTGAAAGAATAGATGCTTCAACAAATTCAAACCTGAACAATTTCCATATGAAGAAGACCCAGAAATCCACACCTAAAGCCAAATCCCATAGCACTTGAGGTCTCAGGTTCAAACTGTAAACAGAAAAGAAAAATCAAATCTTTTAATAATTAATCACTAACCCTACCATTGTCAGCTTGACTGTAAGAAAATTGGATATTTAAGAGAATAAAAATTGTTTGGTGTCAAAAGAAATTATGTATGCAAATTTCACAAGGCAACATGGCATAGTTTAAATAAACTTTATGACTAGCAGATTCACGAATGCTTCACTCATGAAAAAAAAACTAATTCGAAAGTGCAATTGAATCAACTCCTATATATTAAATGCAAATATCTATCTTGTATGAGAATGTCTTTAAAGACTATTCTTAGACAGGAGCATTTTTAGAGATTTTTATAATTTCTTATGTAATTCAAATTTTCATTTATCATATTTATTTATGAATTAAATTTTAATATCTTTAAATAAATGATCAATAATTAAAAATAATCTTTTGCTATGATATAAAATTTATTTTAAATCTAAAATATAATTTATATGTTTAAAAATATTTATTTATACAAATTTTAAATGTAATTTATATATTCAAATATAATTTTTTTTTGTATATAATTTATTATAAACTTTAGTTATATAAAATAAACATTTAGCTTGTGAAATGCATAGACTAAAATACTAGTAATTCAATAAACATCAAACAGTTTAAAGAGAAATTGAATTGATTAAGGGCTATTATAACTAAAACAAGAAAAACTAATTGAATAGCAAATTAAAACAACGGATGATAGCATATATAGAGAAAAGCAAATAATGTTCCTTTGTTGAAAGACTAGAAACAAAAAGTGTTGAGATATGACTAATATTTTGTCTTAGGATGTGAATTTTGACTTAACTTAATTCTACAAAAACGACTAATAAAGTGAGAGTTACACCAACTTATATACTTATATACTTTATTTTGTCCTCATCTCTAGTCAATATAGGATTTTTGGATTTTTCCAAATTAGGAAAATAATTTGTATTACAGCCTATTTTTTAGGATATGTGCTGTATAGGATAATAACTTAATCTTTTCCTTATCTTATTTTAGATTTAGCTTATATTTTCCTTATCTTTAGCATTCTTTGTATAATTATATCTACATACCCCTTTTCCGGTAATTAATAAAGCAGGAAACAGTTTTTCATATCGTTTTCACTGTTCTCAAGTTATCTCAGGTAAATATGCATTATTTTTCAGCATATCAGTATAACCTTCAGTGCAGCATCATTGAGTTGTAGCTTCTCAAGTGCATCACGCAGATCAGGAAATCTGACAACGGAATGATAATAAGGAAATGATTAATTCAAGATGCACTCAAGAGTAACAATATAATTCTTTTGCTCAAGAAAGAAAGAAGAGAGTAAACAAGATATTAATACTGGTCAGCATCAACAGGAAACAGGCCACAAAACACCATAGGAGTGGCTTCCTCGTATCCAGAGAGGGAATTATCAGCCTTTCTTCCATAGTGAGTAATAGTGTCACCCACTCTAGCATCAGCTACTGTTCTTATTGATGCAGATAGATAACCCACCTATTAAAGCACCGCACAAGATATCAATGTTCAGATTGAATAAAAAATGTTTATTTATCTTACCTTAGAGAATAAAGATGTAAAGAATATAACAATGAACGGAGTTGTAATGCCAGCAAAAATATGCACCGACACAGACTCAGGAGAAACAATACACCGTACACTAGTGCCATGCATTATGTCTTGTCATATTTATTATGTCACATTTTTTTAAGTCCTTTATCTTGTATTTGTTTATATGCTTCATAATCTGTGTACATAGGATAAGCAATATGAAATAAATCAATCAGGTAATTAAATCATTCAGGAGTATTACTTTACCTCACCAGCATACAATTCTTCAACTTGTAGTTGATTGGGAGACAAAACTCCAATTTCATCAGCAAAATAGTCCTGTAATTTTATAATCAGGCAGAGAATATTAGTAGTCACCATAATAACCGAGGACTTTCCAATGGTAGCTAGACCTTGTTTGAATTTATTTGTATGCATATGAAGATTTAATGAATGCTGAATGGAATTATGAATAGGCAACTATACTGACAGTTCGTCACCACCAAATTAAATCTTGGCAAAAATAAGGGATCAAAAAATATGAAAGGTACTGTACCTTCCCACTTGCCATAAAATAAACTCTGTCACCTTTCTTTATAGTCCCATCTACAACTCGAAAGTACACAATAACACCTCTATATGGATCATAGTAGCTGCATTTAAAGAAATAATAAATATGAGTGCCTGAAGGATAAATACCACTTGTAAAAGAATATTAACTGACACAAAATTGTAAGAGGGTGCCATACATACTACAGGAATTGTATAGCATCTAGATGCGTAAAGTAAAGGTCTCTGACCCTAAACCCTAAACCCTAAACCCCACTAAGCTAAGTATACAACAACATGTGGCAAAAGAATTACCTAAAGTATAGAGAATCCTAGGACATGGAAATTAGATCCTTGAACTTTACAATAAGTCTACCAACTATCAAGTCTCAGTTGAAGTGTCCATGTTATCATTTTTAGGTTGTAGGGACCTTTTTCATGGTATCAATGTCATCTAAATCTTAAATGATAATCCATGTGAATCCAAAGCATATTGCCAACATATATCATCAAATGGATTAATCAGACAACAGTTGGAAAAAAAAAAATACCTATCAAATATTAAAGCCCTCAGTGGTCTTTTAGATGTATCTTCAGGTGGAGGAATTCTTGAAACGATTGCATTGAGGATATCAATTATACCTATTCCTTCCTACAGACGAAAGTAACTATTGTTATATAATGTAAAATCATAAACCAGGCAAAAAACAGGAAACAAAAGAAAAAAAACAAACCTTTGCAGAGCAGAGAATCGCATTGCTACAATCTAGACCTACAATCTACACATGAAGTCAATTCAACTTAAAAATTTACTTATGAATATCATAATCATGATTCAAGAATTAATCAATAAATAAACCAGAAAAGCTCATCTAAGTTAACATGTTCACAAATTTTATATCCCCTGATGTGTAATCTATAACCAGTCCAGTTATTAGTGAGACTTTAGAATGTTAAGCCAATAAAAGAACAAATTAATTTTATGGTACCAAAAAGTTAGGCAGAGTTCTCAAGCTGCAGTTCTTTGGCGTGTTTGGTTGGAAAGAAATGCTAGAATTCTGAGGCTTCAACTGAGTTCAAATGGGATTGAGTAGTTTTATGGCTTCTTTGTGGTGTCTCCTCATGGGCATTTTAAGGAGGGCATAGATTGGTATACTGTGTTTCATGTTTGCCTTTTATTTTCCCTTGTCTTTTGTTTGTATCGTCTTTAGTCCTTGAGGATTTCTTATCTTGTTTTGGTATCTTCCTTTTCTATCTTATTAAATTCCTTTCTTATAAAAAAGGAATAAATTATAGTGTCATAGGAGAACTGAGAAGGATCCTAGACTATCTCCCAGTCAAGCTGAAAAATTAAGAATAAGAGAATGATGACATTGAGGGTCTAAGTTGAAGTTGACAAACAAACCTCTTCAATCTCCTTGATAACACGATCTGGTTCTGCACCTGGGAGATCTATTTTGTTCAAAACCTGTTTCAGAATATCTAGTGTTACTAAACATGCACACATGCAACACATTTGGACATATTACCTCATAACTTTATAAGTGATGAAAAAACAGACAGAAAGCAAACTATTCACAATTTGAAAAGGGCGAGTCCCATGCCACAACTTTGTGCCCAAAAAATAACACAACTGCTTAGGGAGTATGAATATGTGGCAGTAGTGAAGCCTTTTTCCCAAAAAAATATATTCGAGTTTATTAATTGAAAAATAGCACCAATAAAGAATAATGAGTATCAGTAAACTAAAATATTAATTAAAAGTAGAATACTATAATGGAATACTTACAGGTATAATTTCTAGGTTGTTCTCCAAAGCCAAATACACATTAGCTAGTGTTTGTGCTTCAACCCCCTGTGATTTAAAAACAATATTTTGTGAAAGCAGAAACCAGAATTGCTAAAGAAGATCACCCTCACATGATAAAGGCCACAAAATCAGAAAGGAAAGAGAAACATAAAAGCATAGAGATTCACCTGAGAAGCATCTACTACAAGAAGAGCACCCTCACATGCAGCAAGTGACCGAGAAACCTGACCACAGATGAATAATCACAATCATATTATTAAGAGTATGTTTGGATAAATTTCTCCATAGGTATTTTTAAAAGAAAAATGAAATATTTTTCTCTATAAGCTAAAATTAGCTTATCCACAAGTTTTTGTATAAATCCTCTCATATTAACTTCTCCAAAAACTTATTTTAAACTTGTGCATAAGCTAGATTAACTTATGAAGAAACTAATTTTTTTTTTCTTTCTATTTTCTTCTGCTAAAAGTGTTTACATAGAAGTTTATCAAAACATACTTGTTAAAAGAAAGGTAAAGTGCACAACTACATAAATCTACATTACATTACATACACATACCTCGTAGGAGAAGTCGACATGCCCCGGAGTATCTATTAGATTCAAGCAATAAGGTTTGTTTTCAAACACATAACGCATTCGAGCTGCCTGCCATGATCAAAATTAGCTAAATGCTTTCTCAAATATTTAAAATTCGAAAAATAAATCAGTTAAAAATAAGATTAAGATAATAAGGAATAAAAAAAAGGTGGAACCTGAAGCTTAATAGTGATTCCTCTTTCCC